AAAAAAAATATTTTTAATAACTTTAACAATTAATTCCTACAATTTAGTAGCTAACTTTAATGTCAGTTAATTAAAAAAAAAGTGTAACATAAGGATGACCAATTTCAGTTTTTTTCTTTTTTGATATCAACAAAAAAATTATAATTTCAAATTAAATGTGTTATTGTAAACTTTTATATATTTTATTTTTTAAAACCCAGCAATATACCATACAAAAACATTTAAAACTTTAGATAGATAACTATGATTTTAAAACAAAAAGTCACAAAGTCACAAAAAGCTTTAATAAAAAAATTGTAACATTAACCACAAAAAAATGGTGTGGGAAAAATAATTAATGAATTTAGGGATTTTAAGGTTGTTAGAATGCTAAAATTGTCAATCATCTCCTAATCCTCTACTCTTTTAACATTTTGAGAAAAATCAAGTGTTTTTCATAACTTTAAAAATTAATTCTTATAATTTAATAGCTAAGTCTAATGTAATTTAATTCAAAATATTAAAATGTAACATAAGGATGACCAGTTTCAGTATAATAAGTCAATCATATGTTAACCATTTTCTTTTTTTCTTTTTTTTATAACTACCAAAAGTTATAATTCTAAATTAAATGTGTTATTGTGAACTTTTAACGGTTTGAAAAATATATATTTATTTATTAAACCCAACAATATACTATACAAAAACATTTAAAAATTTATATAGGTAACTACTATTTTAAAACAAGAAGTCACAATAATAAAATCACAAAAGGTTTTAACAAAAAGAATCGTTACATTAACAAAAAAAAATGGTGTGTAAAAATTAGTTATTGATTTTAGGAATTTTAATATTGTTAGAATGCTAAAGTTGTCAATCATCTCTTAACCAAGACCCTCGAAAGAAAACCCACAAAAATTGTGAATAACGTTTAGTTTTTAAATCCACGTGCGCGGACAATCTCTAGTGGTTCTATATGATTAACTTAATCGTGCATTTAAATGTCAGTAATTAAACTAAACTTGAAAACTGACATATTAATGAACATCCCGTCTCCTAAAAGGCCTCTTGAGGCCCAAATCGGGTCCATGGATGGAGAATTAGACAAGCAAACATCCTGGAAAGGGAAAAGTGTTGAAATAAAAGAAAGAGAGGGAAACAAGAGAATTGCATCTCATCATTATGCTCTTGCTTTCTTTAGCAAACCTTTTACTTTCTTACATATAATTTAAGCAAAACAGATGTATGCAGTGTGCCAAACTAAAAAAAAAATGGGAGTTTCTTCTCCTGATT